AAATACTGAGCAAAGGGTCTGAATACTTATGACCATGTGATATTTCAGTTTTTCTTTTTTAATACATCTGCAAAAATATCAAAAATTCTGTGTTTTTCTGTCAATATGGGGTGCTGTGTGTACATTAATGAGGAAAAAAATGAACTTAAATGATTTTAGCATATGGCTGTAATACAACAAAGAGTGAAAAATTTAAGGGGGTCTGAATACTTTCCGTACCCACTGTACTTGCAAATATTTTACTACCTGAGTACTTCTGCTAAATAGGTTTTCTCAAACCTATGTCATGTTCCTCCCCCTGATCCTTTATACATCTCTCAGCCATTGACACAGGTATGTTGTTGCATACAGTATACTGAATATCAGAAATTACAAGGTCATACACACTCAGTCTCACTTCCTGTTGCCACATACACCCAAGGTCATATACACCCATACAGGCACACATGCTTTAACTCACTGTGTGTTGATAACCAGTCTGTCCCACTGTCCTTTGATGTCATCCTCAGATGGCTGTTCTGTGATATAAAGGCCATCAAACTCCAGCTTCCTGGCCACCTCCTTCTCACGCTTAAATATCACAAGTGGCACCTAAATCACACACACACTCAGTCAGGTCTTACCATATTTGTGAGGACACTCACTGGCATAATGCATACCATAGCCCCTTACCATAACCTTAACATCAAAACTAAATTCCTAACCACAACCCTTCAGCTAACACCTAAGTACGGGTGTCACTGTCAGGTTTGCCCGGCTGCACTTGCCTCTCTCACCCCTGCCCCTGATTGCTCATCATTTACACCTGCGCCTCACCCCTTGATTGTCACCAGCTGCACTTCATTAGTCTATCCTTACTTATACCCAGCTCACCTATCACTCCCTTGCCAGTTCGTTCACATTCTCAGGCCATCTCTTTGTCACTCTATTTGGATTATTATTCATTTGTTGTTTTTTTCTCCAGTATTCTAGTCCCCGTATTATTTTTGTTTCCTGGTTTTTCTCGTTATGCTTCTCCATTTATAGTCAGCTCTTTTTCCCTGCACGGACCACTAGTGATGGGCAGATGAAGCTTCATGAAGCAATGAAGCCTTTCATCCAATTGGTTCACTCCAGCGCAAAGCTTCTTGAAGCTTCATTTGCTCTAGTAGGACATCTACTGGATGCAACAATATCAGTTGGCATGAATTTGAAGTGTGTGGCATTTTGCAGAAAGCCTGTGAATAAAACTGTCAGCAAAATAAAGAAGTATGCAAAACATGTATATTGTAGTGATGGCAGTATACTGTGTATATATATATATATATACTGGCAGTATGGAAAATTATTATTTGGAAATGATGAAAATGGAAATGATTATTTACAGTGAGGTGAGGGTGGTTGGGGTTGGGGT